TTATTATCAAGGAGAAAGTCCATGTCAAGATCAAAACAAATAATTATTTTGTGCAACCTTATATGAAATTGCAAGTCAATCAAAAATTTTGTGAAATGTTCAGTGACTGAATACATGCTTTAGAATCTTCTTGCTGAGCTGTAGTAGAATAACCTCCAAATTGCTTACAGCATTCTGCAGTTTTACAACCAATAATTCACAAAATCAAAATATTCAGGTGATTTTTGTTATTGAACTTAGAGTAACACAATGATAAATATGTCGAATTTCTAATATTTGACGCACAAAATTCTTGTTATTTCTCAAAATGAGTTATCTAACTCTTGTTCTCAAACAAATGCCGTACTTTCAAATTTTTGCAATGAATTGACGTTAGATTAGTAGACATGTTTTAAGCATTGTCAAATGAGCGTACTTTGCGAACACTTTTGTCAGATATGCGAATTAGGTGAGCACACAATAGTTTTCCTGTTTCAAATTAAAAAAAAAAAAGTATAAGATGGACGTATATACTATATGCATGATATTATCAAGTTAAAGCAAAATTGTCTTGATAAGGAATAGTTAGAATAATGACATACCAAATGAGGCTAGCTGATTATGGAAGCAAAAGTATATTGATTATACCCAACTCTGATTTAACATTAACGGGACACCATGTACTTTAGATGTTATCACCACACTAACTGTAAGTGTCATGCTTTATTATTATGCCGAACTCAAGATGCTAATATATTGTATACAGTGTCTGTACATCGCACAGACAGAATTTATCGAAGTCTGCATTGACATACGTGCATTTAATTGGAATAGAGGCAAACCAATTGAATAAACTCGCATTAAATAAACAGTGAGTAGACAACGTTAATATGGTAAATCGATTTCACAATTGTTGTATTCCTCCAATATCGCTGTACTTGGACGCTGTCAAGAACATCACAACACCACGAATTATAGTATAACAATCATCATCACCATCTTGTAAGATTATGTTTCCCTGGCCCATGAACACAATGCAGACGATCAATAATAACCGTAATTTTATCTTGCACGTCAGTTTGTTCCAAACAAAACAAAATATTAACATACTGCATAGCGATTTTGTTTCTGGGTCTTGTGTGACCCCATAAATTGGTAACACAAACACGTAACATGATTTCTAAACTACTAAACAAAAATAGATACAAAGTACATTAAATACCTTTTTAATTAATTAATTAAGTTTAGTAGACTATGAAAATAATCCACATAATAATGTTATTTATTGTATTGACACAGGGTAGCGTGTTCCAATTTAATTAAAACTTTGCGTCTAAATGATCAACATAATCTGAAATAATAACCTGGATATTTATAAATGACTTTCTCTTCATGTCAACATATGGCCCATCCCATCTTGTCTTTATATCTGAAGCTCAATTAAAATTTCATAACTATTTCTCGGATCTTCAGTAGGTATGAGCTTACTAGAGTATTTGCTCTCCTTCTCGAGACGTGATAAAGGTCTTACATTAGTATGATAAACGGCATTCCATATGTTATAATTGTCACTGTTTGCCTCTCTAATAAGGTCTCTAATATGATAATACAGTGTCAGTACATCTGGACGCTTGTCAGGATCAGCATCACAACACATCTCAGCAAGTTTCTTGGTCGTAAGCCGCCCAAAATATCGCATACTAAATATCTATCAAATTCTCTATCCCTAAAAGGTAATTCACCTGTGGCAAGCAAATACGCAATAATACCAACAGAATATATGTCTGATTTCTGAGAGTATGGTAGACTTCCGGTGCAATAAAGGGCACAAAGCCTTGATTCACCAACCAAGATCGCATATGAATGATTTATCGTCATTATGCATAACTACGTTTCCACGGTGATTGCAATGCACTAATACCATGCAATGGATATTATACAGATAATATGCAATATTCTGCAAACACTGTAATTTCATCTTCCACGTCAATCTGTTAATATTTTTATCCAAATTGACAAAAGACTACCATGGTGTACTCTTTTGTTTGTGTGACTCCATAAAGATCAAGGAAATAAGTTTTTGCGCGTTTATGAACTATTAAATAAAAAAAATACAGTCAAGTTAAATAATATTTAATTAATACTATCAAAGATTGCTTACCTCGACAATAAATAATTCCGGCGGCGACTCTTAGAACGTTTGAGTACAACAATTTCTGGCATACGCTCTACTTCTGAATACAGTCAACTGCCGATAATTCGGCCTTCTTTAATTCGATTTATACGTTAATTCGACCGCTGGTTACAGAACAATTTTTGACATTTATTATTATTTCTATTGTAATTAACTGATGATAGTTCGACTTGTACGTTAATTCGATCGATAACCTCGGAACGCAAGCGGTCGAATTATAGGCAGTTGACTGTACTTTTTATATTTGGCAGTATAGACCGTCCCATAACCACCAGATTCAATCTCCTTAATTTCATCAAAGTCGGCATACTGCATATGCTTTATCCATTTATTAAGTTGTAAAAATCTGTCCAATAGTGCATATTAGTGGCTATAAAGAAGTTTGCTTATTTGCCCATACACGTAGTAAAAAAGCAACATTATACAGGCGATTCTTTGCGCATTGTCTAACTTGTCTCAGTAAATGAACCGACTCCTAGTTTTCGTAGTCCCAAAGTTTGAAAGCCATGTTTTAGTCTTGCGGGATTGGATTAATGGCGTCTAACAGTGATGTAGACATTGTGATTATGTTGGAGTGCATTAAAACAGCAAAACCACTATATCCAATAATTGCTGGATTGTTTAAAAGAGAGTCGCTCATTGATGCGATGTGAGGGATATAGAATTCCTATAGGCGATATATTAACCTTTACTTGCGCGTAATAACTGACATAATATTAGGAATTGATTTTGCCGTCCCTTGGAATAATTAACTTTAATACATCATTGTAAATGACGAAATCAGTTAATCACTGCACGACATTCGAAATACACTAACTTGGAATGTACTGTATATCGCCAGGACAGCAGATAATTTTAAAACTTAAATATGTAGCTCTCATCTTAGTAGAGTGCCGTTAATGACTCTAGTGGATTAGACGAATAGAACGTACAATCTGTCGTTATTATTACAAACTTTATTATGTCAAAATTGATAAAATAACAAAAAAGAAAGAAATCTATGGTTATTCCACATATTATATAATCGAGTATTTATCACAGCATTTTCGGATTATTGTTACGGTTTATTTAGGTTAAATCGTCGGCAAGTATGATATTTTTGATTTGTGACCAATAATATTCCCAAGCCTGAGTACTAAAATGGGTACGCATGTCAGTACTTGCCAATAATTCCTTTACACGTTGTCACATGCCATAAATTTAAATCGAATGGAATGGTTTATCTATTAAAGTCTCAAACGTGTACGACTATGAGAAGCATGTTCGTGCTATACGTTCGACAATTATTGGCAAAGAGTATCTCATCGCTCGTCATATTAGGTCACATTCAGGAGATCGAGGAACCATATGGGTCTTCTGACCGGGTTACGTTCGATACCATGACAATAGATCGCCTATGAAACAAAACATATTAATATGAACATTGCCATCGATAATACAATCTTCATTCCTGTCACGGGATTTTCATCGTGACGGTTACCTCCAGTATTTGTTTACCGAAGAAATAGCGTGAGATTCTTGTTCAATGCTTCGTCGTCGGATAGTTCTCCAGCTCGTAGGGCTTGAGGATTAAATCTTGAATAGGTGGCATATTCCGTGCTTTGCTCAAATTTCATACTTTACAGTCATAAATTTTGTAGAACTCTGTGAAATTTATTTATTCAAAGCTTGGACACGCTTTCACCTTAACGCCTTGGTACTCCCCCGACTTGATATCCCATTCACTCACTAATAAATACAAATCTATGTAGAATTTTTTAACAAGATAATTGGAATGGAATACAAATCGTCACACATCATTGATTAGAAGATTAATTAAGAGAATAGCCATTATTATTGGTAAATCAACAGTCGACAGTCTCTCAATCGTCTCTTCGCTTTCTTTTTTGTTTGCTACGACTGATCGAACCAACGTCTGAACCTGCTAATAACACCGACTTTTTCGCTCTCATTGTCTTTACACCCTTTGACTCTTCCTGGTGTTGAAGAAAGTCCTGACGACAAACACTTGCAAGGCAGCCATACCAATAATCAACGAGCTCTCCAACAACGCAAACCAAAAGATCCTGCTCTCTGTATTTTTTACAGTAGAAAGATTTCTATTCTCCCTAGTTCTAAAATACTTTTGCGTCCTTGCGATGGAACTCAAACTTCCACTTAGTCTAAACAAACTGTCATCCATTTTGGCAGACTTGTCAGGCACGGGCGTCCGTTGAGGAATTTCGGCGCGGGGCTCGTTTTCGACGGTGATTTCGAAATCGACGAGTTTTTCTGCAAAGGATGACATGTCGTTTGCGAAGCAGAAAGAGTATTCACCGACGTAATTAGCCGTAAAGATATAGTCGCCTTGTCGTTCGCGGTCACCAGAAATTACTACTTTGCCTCGGGGATCGTTTACGATGTAATCTATATCGAAGGAACCCCCATCTTGGACCTGCAGTTCGATAATTGATGGTAAGGATTAGTGACTGAGAGAAAGAAAAAGAAGCAGAGAACAGGGAGAGGAACCAAGCAAGAAGGGAAAGGCGTCTTGGTTAATTTCAAGGTGTCAAGCAGGGAGTTTTACGAGTGAGTTAGGGACTGGGTGAGAGTTCTTAATACAATCAGCAATATAATTGACTGCTGTGTAAGGTCATCGAATCAAAGACTTTCTCACATTGTCCTTAATTCATGCTCTGCACCCCATCGCTCACACAACCTTATTCAATAACCACTTCTTTCCTCCCAGTCATTTTCCCAGTGCTCTTCTCAAAACTTCCCAAGTCTCATTTATTCTATGCATCCCTCCACCGCTCCCCCCCCTTCTTTACACAAACGTACCGCAAAGTAAAACGCAATCTTTTCTCCAACTTTGTCAGCAACCGCGTAGAAACATGCTTTCTCGTGTGCAGCAACCTTGTATGTCAAAGAAGTTGCGCTGACCGACGTAAGTAGTGTTAATAGATACCAAGCGACGAGGAGAGTTGGGAAGAGTGCATTTGAGATGGAGAGTGGAGAGCGTATTCTGGAAGAAGGACTTGTTACCATGATAATATTTTGTTATGGCGAATGAAGAACCGTGAAACAGTAGTGCTATTTGTATTAATGCAAATCTCGGCCAATCATAGGGAAAGCCGTATGATTTTGACATCAATATGGAGTCAAGTTTGGCAATAAAGATATCGAAACGCTATACAGTTCGTTTGAACAAGTGTATGTAAAATTAGAGTGTTCAATTCATTTGCATTATTCTGATTTAATAAAAATTTAAACATTCCAGTACATGGATGATTGCATTCACTACTTCGTTTCTATATCTTTTTCTCAATCGCTCGTCTAATGAGTAATAAGCCGCTCGATTCTTACCAGATGATTGTCAAACATTAGAAGAATAATTGATGTTCCTTGTTCTATATGACTCTCCCGTTTGACAAGTCCTGCGTTTACAGAAAAGAGAACGCCTATAAAATAGCAAAGAAGGGGGCTTTTTGCCTATAATGGGTGTGCTTTTTTTTTTTTTCAAGGCACGTCCATTAGGTTAATGAACTACATTCAGCATGCTTAGACCGTCAGCTTCGAAATCTAATGTCCTAATGTAAGAGCAAAGAGATGTTGCAACTAAACTTTCAGAACGTAGTTGGTTTCATGTCATGAGTTCAATAGTGCAGTAAAAATAAAATATCTGTACTCAATTAGTTATATAGATTGATACTTATATGCCGTTATTTAGCCAAGTATCATTTATTGATTGAGCTTCAGATGGGCAATAACTGCCCAAATTTGTATTTTGTTTGCACCATCGAAAGAAAGCAACCAGGTAATACGTCCATGTACAATATCGATAATAAAGGTTCTACATTACACTATGTCTCACGGGTTGTGGTAGCCAAATTAGTATCAGTGATAAGACTTGCCGTTACGTACTTGACGCTGCGTTACTTTAATTTGTCACGTGAGACGCAAAATAAGGAATATAAAGAGAGATGAGAAATTTCTATGAAAGTAAATTTGTTAGGACAAGGCCGAAAATATGTTATTCAAATACTTGACGTGTTTATTACTATTTAAACTACATGACAATAATATATTGCTAAAAATTTATACGATAACAATCGATAACAAAAAAATCGAGAATTTAGTTTCGCTTTTTACAATAAAACCAACTCATATATAAAAGACAGGATACCCAGGATTAAAGCAAATCTAATATAAACAACTATTGCTATTACTACGCATTTTTCCACAATGCGCAGCCAAGTAATTTGTATCAATCATTTGTACGAGTCACATTGAATACTGCTGATAATAGCGCCCCAAAAGGTTTGTTCTAGAGCAGTTCTGTTTACATTAAATAAGTATATGACATATATGCATGTTAATTATTATTCTTTGCTTTGTGTTAACAAGATAACAGAGATCTGTTATCTCAACATTAGTAATAAAATTTATCTAATCTTTGCTGATTAATTAAACTGTTTATTGTTGTCTCACTGAAAGTTGGACTTACAAATGAGAGCGTGTTTATGTTTAGAAAAAGAGATCGGAGGACGGGAAAAAACATTTCGAGTAATTTTCCGCGGAAATATGGCAAGCTGACATATCTACGCTTGGCCCCATCACAACAGATTGATAAGATTTCGAAATTTAGAACATTTTTATTGTTTTGTTTGCATTAAATTGGAAATTACACAAGTATACGCCAATACCGAAATAACTTGTATATAAACCCCCGATTAAAACCACAGTCTTTCTGAGAACTTTTCAAGTTCCCATTACGATCGTTTACAAGTCTTGAAGTATTATCTTTTTTTTTTTTTTTTAAAAAACAACAAAGGTTTATGAGTAGTTGCTTGTTGAATTTATTTTAATTTTATATCTTATCATTTTAGTAGAAAAACGCTACAAATAAATATAGAAATCCCGCTTGGTGAAATAAGTGCTCAGCCACCAACAAGAAATGCTACCAGCGGAACAGTTTTAGCGTACGTAGCTCTCATTACTTGTTTTCAATGTTTAAGCCAAGCCGCGCTTTCACAGTTCTTACTTATCTGTTATCGCTTATTATTACAGGTATTCGAGACTATTATGCAATATGCGCCGGAGTGAAAAGAATTAAGCTCTACGGTTACGTAGAACACAAATAAGTGAAGAAAGCCATGTGTACTACTAAGTTTGATAGCAACAAATACTATACCGAAGTTACATATAATGCAAATCTTTGCCCATTAAAAACCGCATAAATAAACTTTATAATATCTGAGACAAGGACATCATACAATATTGCGTTATCTCTACCTACCACCCAGAATTTTCTATACCTCTTTTAGCACGTCAAAACACACACAACTATTCCTCAGGTCTTATATAGTTAGTTGCTCATTGCTACATTGCTATATTGCTGCAAGCTGTTTATTCGTTCGTTCTCGCATAGCCCACAGAGTCATATGAATGTAGAAAACCGGTTATTAGTAAAAGCAAAACTATATAGCAACGTGAGCATTTCATTGGTGCTTGATCTATTATCTAATCTACTTGCATACGCCCTTTCTCATGTCCAGAATCAGTTACACTGCAGATATGGCAACGTCATTGTTTTGTTTCAGGTCAATATTATGTTTAATAATTATAGATTATTAATAGCAAATTCAAAATAATATTGAAGTCATATCTAGAGTTTTTACAACTAATTACTCTTGTTTGACACATCCAAGACTCACAAATTATACTTATAGTACTAAGAAAATGTTGCAAAAATGCCGTAATTAAGTTTCGTGCGATTTTAAAGTCATATCTCTCACGTGACCAACCGATTTGTAATTAGCTACTAATGTGTGAATTAATCTTAGTGGATAACCTTATTAACTGAAATAAACGAGTCCCGTATTAATGTTTAGTAACAAAACTGTTGGCTGATAAGCAGATGTGACTATACTTTCTTCTTCTTTTCCTTCTTTCTTCTTATTTGCCAACAACCGTTGACAGTACTTCTAATATATTGTATATTTTTCATTTATTTCGTCATACAGTGAGAGTCTACAAGAATATATTACCGTACACGGGTATACAGTATATTCAAACGATCAAGTGGCTGTGCTAAAAAGCGCCGACAAGTACTTATCACTAGAAAGCGAAAGAATGTGACATAAATATATTTGCCAAACTTGATCCTTCCATGATACAAATACTAGCGTATGGAGATGCAATCAGTTATCGCTATACGGAAAGCTTGTGTCTGATTTCTTTCCCAAAATTTTCTGTTTGTTTATTTATTATTTGGTTTACAAAGCTTGTTTGTCATTAATTGTTTGTTCAAACCTAATATATAAATCGGGGAACTTTTGGTAGATCTCTGAGATATCTTACTATCTAATATTCCATGCATATTATGTTAATATTAGGTTTAATCAAAAACCTTATTTTCTTCTTTCTTTCCTTCAATATTTTGCACTAACCTTTTCTGGTAAGCTTTTGGGAATTCTATGCATGGCCGACGTACCCAGGTTAAATCAAAATGTCACGTTCCTTGCTAATAATAAATTCATAGAGACAACAATGATATTACCGATATGTGATATTATGAATATACCGTATTTTCTGACTCAAGTACCCCCCGGGTATTTGTATAATACTCTGAGTACTTCATCAGGGGGGGGGGGGGGTATTTTGATGTGAGGAGGGTACATGTATATACATATTTTTACTATTACATGAGATTATCCGTCTATAATATCCCGGCGAGAATGTTTTTTTTTCTTCTCGAAAATAGTACCCGGGTCTTTTACAAAATTAGGCCTCAAAATTGTTGAAAGGTACTTTATCGGGGGTACTTTAGTCAAAGAAATACGGTAGCTCTCGTATAACTAACTTTAAATTCACCTTCTAATTAGTAGAAATTTAATTACAAAGAATTAGTCGTAACTGTTGTTAGCATATCATTTTGCTGTAAAATTCAGCACAAAGAAATTTAACCAACAGTCTACGTCTAACAAGTACAATAATATATTACAATGACAAGAAGCATAAACTATTTTCTAGCTTTTTGCAATTAACTCGTTGTCAGGAGGGAGCAATAGGAGGAAAAGTTTGAGAGTATCTTAGAGAGATGAGTTAACAACATTAAAAATAAGTTTGATACCATATGCGGAATTGCGGATGACATAAATCAATATACGCATACTGTACATTACAAGCATATATGCTGTACATTACACAAATCTTAGAAACTGCATTCCCAAGTTAAGAGGTTGATCCTAATTAGGAAGTTGTGCTTGCAAATTTTGTCGATACTGTCGATATAGGGAAATACTATTGTAAAGTTTTTCGTTGGTCAGAATATAGTTGTGTCACAATAACAAAGTCACGCAACCTTCGACAAACTGGATATACTGTATATTCGAATTCACTTCTTTAAGTCTGACAACCTGTTAACTTTTACGTTTGTAGGAAGTCGAAAGCTCAATTCCCGTTACCGTTGTAGGCGCCGACTCGATGAGTTCTAGCTCAATCACCACCAGTGATGTATCAAACGCCCTTTCCACAAGCATTCCTACTGCTACGTCAACGATGGCTACGTCTGAATCAACACAAAATTGTTTTCCCAAGATTATACTTAAACTGATGGAACACGGCCATATGTCAGCCGATGAACAAGTCAAGGAATTGTTAACAAACATACAATATCCAGAGAATCTTTATGCGCTCAAATACATTCTTGAACATAAAGGTGAACTTGTATCAATAGAGATGTTAGTCACTGCTATGGAGAGCCTGTATCCTCAAAAAAATGAGAAAGCAATTTCAGAAGAAACAACTATAAAATTGGAATGGCAATTGCGAATTGTTATGATTATATTGGAGCAAATGCATGAGCATAGATGTCAACTTACATGTGAGTTTCTTGATGATCTTAGGAAATTTATTTCTGTATGCAAGAAGATGAATGAGAAACTCACACAAGTTGACAGCAGTGAATTTTGGAAACCTGATTTTGCCGAGTTTAATAAGCAAGATAAAACTATCCAAAGTTTCAAATGTAATTATGATAATAA